GTACGAACCCTTTGTACGAACAAAAGTAAGAGAAATTTAGGATAAGAATATGAACATGTTCTTGCATGAGGCCCATTGCTTCATAAATCCTCCAGTCATGTCACTATCCATCTCCATTAATTCCTCATGCCAAAATGGAACCAAAACTGGGGTCATTTGCCTCTGCACAATGTCTAGTTAAGTCAATATGTTGAGTTAACATTCTCTTTTTTGCATTTGTGGAAATCCAGGTCGGCAAACAAAATGGCACAATAAACATATATGTGACAAAATTTCAAGTGGATATCATCAACTTGTGTTTACTATGCATGTTGAAGATTATAAATATACAAAGCTTTGAAAAAAATATCAATAGGGTGTACAGGGGAGTAGTTCCTGCGATTCAGTTTAGGCGAATTTTAGAAATTTTTTTTAGTGTTTACTCCAGCTATTATGCATCAAACATGATCTAATCATGGGAATCTTTTACCCAACCAATTACCCATGAAAAGACAAATATAAAATGGGGTGAAAGGTGTGTTCTCCCCCCCCTTCCTTCCTACTAGACTATTAGTGTTGGGGTCAGGGTCAGGCTGTAAAGAGATCAAGCAGGATCAAAGGATACCGTCGTGTAGGCCTCGTGGCCCAGTGTTTATGCTTTTGACACGCCCACTTTGATTCCGCAGATAACCCCTTCTCCTCTCGTTTGCAGGCGGAACGTAATAAGCTGTGTAAACACGCAATATTTATTCAGGAACTCTGAACCGTGGATGGTGTGGCCGCGGTCAAACTTCGTTCAAAAACGGTCATATTTACTGGCATGTTTTTAACAGATGAGGAACATATGTTTACAGACTAATACATTCAGACTAATAAATTCGGACCTTGTAGCATGGTCGGAATAGAAAACAATTTAAATGTCTAAATATTTAGCAAGGATGGGCTTACCTTTTCACATTTTACACACAGACTGCCTCATCAGAGGTTATGTGAATAACATACACAATCTGCTCATCCCTCATGTCGTTTTAAGGTTTGCTTAAGGAATGTCGACCCGTACGTCACATTTTCATCCTTAATCCACCCACCGTGTATGCTGCGTTGCATGTGTCAATGTGCGAGACAGCGTTAAATTGTAAAAGATGTGAATGGAGTCTGGTAAATCAATGTGTAGCTTGCTAGCGGCAACGCCACTCACCTGACGATTTTGTTGAAACAGAACGAACAAAAGCGGTGACCGCACTGAGCTTGAAGGGGCCTCCGCAGGATTTTCTGACACGAGTTGCACAAATGCTTGTCCTCGAGGTTGTTGGCCAAAATTTTCTTTGGGAAGCCCGGTTTGTTTCCGTCCAGGGAAGACGGTGAAGGCTCTTGTGCCATCTTTGTGCCCCAAAACCCCATTAATACCTATCTGCAGCTTCCAGTACCCGATCGTCACGCCCCCCGATCGTCACGCCTCCTGATGACGCAGGGGAAAACCGTGCCCCACCTGGGCGTGCCTCGCAAGCGGGATTTTTTTATGCATAATGCTAACGCTAACCATTGAAATCAATGAGCAGAACGTAGCGCGGTGCAAACAAACGCTTTATAAATGTACAAATTGTACAAAATACTTTGCTATAAACTGCAGAAATGTTTACAACATGTTTACAAGAGATAAAAGGGTTATCTGTCACAGGTAAATATTAGGGGGACATGACCACTGCCTCATTTGGGACCAGACGAACTATTTATAAACCCAACAATTTGCTGAAGGGAAAAGCATTTGGAGGCTTTTCAGTTTGTCATTCATGTCATGTAGTACAACAATAACGTAGATAGTGGATTTATGATGATATATGTTATTTTATTTTTACTTTAGCACGGTCTGATTTCATTTTTTTTTTAAATATTTTATTCAATTTCTTAAACAGAATCCTGCTTTTATGATAGTCTTTTGAACATTTATTTTATTTTTCTATATTTTTATTTTTCTTTTGCACTTTGTTAAAATGTTTTGTGTAAAGCACTGATTTGTCTTGGTGCTGAAATGTTTTATATAAAGCTGCCTTGCCTCAGGTCAGAAGCACAATAATTAATATACAGTGGAGTGATGATGAAATGTTCCAAATTATTTATAGACCATATTCAACTTCTCTTTAACTTATGATACTGTTAACACTACTCTACACTACTGAAGACTGGAGCCAGGAGGAGAACAAACCTACAGATGGTTGAAGTACAGGTGGAGACRTCTTCATGACCTGCAGAACATCAGGACTGATGCTGGAGCTTTCTGATACATGTGTGCATTAAGGTNCCTCTACGTTATGCGCAACTTTTATTTTTATTTTTTTATTTTTAGCTAGACGCCAAGAAAAAAACGATCGAACTTCTTTATGAAAATACAAACAGAAAACCAGTTTCTAGTTTATAATAACGCGTTTTGAAAAGTCAACAGGTTTTAGAAAAAGGTTGAAAAATAACTTATTTTCTAAACCACAATAGTTTGCATAAACTTCTTTCCGCTGTGATAGCAGTAGGAGCTAACAAACTACACCGCTTTCTAAACACGGAATAATCGACCGCAGTTTGGAATCTTTTATCTTATAATAGAGGATAAAAGTAAGATGAATTTTACTCTGGCAGAGTTGTCCAATTTGGAAAGGTTTTTACGCTTGCCGCGCCCTTGCCAAAGCGCCTTTGTGCGCCTCTCCACGCTGCTGTGCGCCAGAGCACGCTTCGTGCACCTTTGTGAATTCCTACTCGCTGCTGTGTGGTCACAGAGCTGCTGTGAACACCTGCTTAAAAGTTCTGCTAAAAACCTAGTCAAAACAGACCTTTAACTGAGTTTTAAAGGTTCTTACTGCTCGCAAAACGCGCTGAACGCGATTTCACCGCGTAAAATGACTTTTTGAAGGCAGAATTGAAGCTTGTTGAATTGCTGTTGTTGTTCAGCCGCCGAACTGTGAAATGCTGTTTGCATTTAAAGCTGCGTTTCACTGCTTGCAAAAGTTTTATTTAGCTGTGTTTTAAAAGCTGTGTTTTTTTAAGCTGTGTCATTTTTTTGCATGCCTGAAGCTGCGTCCTTCTGCTCAGATTAGAACCAAGTCAATCGCTCAACACAGAGCAGCACCTGAGTTCTTAAAGCCACAGCATACAGCCTTGTTTTGACTACAAAAATCCGCCATTTTGACCCGACAGACCGTCATAAGAACTACAGTTCCCAAAACGATGTCATGACGTCATCACGCAGACGTAGCCCCTTTGAGGGATGTCTCCATCTGGTGGACAAGCGAAAGTACTGCAGTTGTAAGCTCATCAAGCCAGGTCAAAATACACTGCATTTATGGAGTCAAATTTGTGCCAACAACATTAAATCAGCAAATCTTGTTTAAGTTCAAATTAAACAAAATTAAGAGCTTCCTTAATACAATTAAGGTCTTTCAACAGTTGGGAAGTTGTTTTAATGTGTTTTTAAATACATTTAAATAACTTAACAATTTTTTTTATTTTTAATTTTTTTTATTTTTAATTTTTTGGTTTGACTCTGGCTTAACAAGCAACATACATAGTTGAACACCTTTGCTTATTTACATAAACTAAATAAACTTAGTGTGAAAAGGTAACAGCAACCAGGCTTCCTTTTCACATAGGTTTATTGTTTACTATAGGCATCACACATTCAACCAAGATATTTGATTGCTCAATCAAGCCTAACTTTAAATATTTTATTCTTTGAACAGAACTTCAAGCCAACTATTGAAGCTTATCTTCAAGTCAAACAACAAACAAGATGGCTGACCCAGCCTCTCAAACAGAACCCTCCTCAGCCAAGCCTGAAACAAAGGGGGCTTCTGAAACACTAGAACCTTTAGAACAGGCTCTGATTACACTCACCTCCTTAGTACTTCTTGGTTACCTGGAACAGCTTCTGTCCAGTGATGCCAGTGTGCTGAATGACATCACAGAGGATTTAATATCAACAGTCCTTGATTCTAAACTTAAAGATAAAGAAGCACACAAAGAACTAGCTAGCCTAGCTTGTGTTTTAGCAACTCGCTTGAAGACTGTTGACAAACTAATATCGCAAGCAGGCATAAAGATTCAAAAACAGAAAGAAAACTTGGACACACTAAAAGACAAACAAAGTCAGTTTGAACGAGACCTAGACGCACAACGGTCTGAACATCGATTACTCCTATCACACCTACATCTGAAACAGAATGAGACAGAGATCTTGAATCAGGAGAAAGATCAACTACAGGTTGAACTAAATCAGACAAAAACAGAGTTAATAACTGCAAAACT